GTGTGTGTGTGTGTGTGTGTGTGTGTGGTGTGTGTGTGTGTGTGGTGTGTGTGTGTGGTGTGTGTGTGTGTGTGTACGTGTTTGTGCATGTGCGCGTACGCGCGCGCACCTCCTCATCTCAGAGGAGCAGTGTTTCTTTGAGATCTGCCTCAGGCACCTTCCAGTGTTTGCTGCCTAGTACACAGCTGGGAAAGAAAACACCAAAATACTGTCCTAGTATTCCAGCAGTGCTGGCTTCATAAATCATTGAACATTCCAGACTTTTCCACTTTTCAGTAGTATGTGATTACTTTGAAGCTAGAATTAACACACCAATTAGTACCAGGGTCTTACTACAAACAATGGCCTTATTCATTCTGATAGTGTCACTGTCAGCTAAAAACTGCTGGTCTTGATGTGTGCCCACAAAGGACACGCGACAGCCTCACAGGATCTGGGCCCTCCAATTATTAAATAAGCTCCACTCTGACAACTACATAAATAGACCTTTGTTCCTTACCTGAGTTTTCAAATTAAAATATCTTTAGTTCATCTGAGATCCTGGCAGCATTTTAGGCCTGCAGCTGGCAGGCCTCCACAGGCAGGGCCAAACACTAGGAACAAGAGCTACCTTTGTGTGCTGGGTATGACTTTTCTTACTGAGGACAAAACAGGCATGTCACTCAACCTTAGCCAAGGACACCCACATTATAACCAAGCTCCCAAGCCCATTCTACTTTAGCACTGAACAACAACAAGACAATGCACACATAGACCACTTTATATTTTCTAGCAAGTGCATTTAAAACAAAAGGTGAAAATTAAGGTTAACATTATTTTCAATATATCAAAAATATTTCAATGTAAATATAAAAATTATTAATAAGCTATCCTTTAACCTTTTATTACATCAAAATTCTGTGTGTCTGTGTGTGTGCTAGTCCTGGGGCTTGAGCTCAGGGCCTGGGTACTGTCCATCAGGTTTTTTACTCAGGGTTAGTCTAGTATTCTACCACTTGAACCACACAGTCCTCTTCAGGCTTTTGTTGACTGACCGGAGAAAAGAGTGTTAGAGAATTCCCTGCCCAGATTGGCTTTGAACTAGTGATCTTCAGATCTCACCCTCTGAACAGCTAGGATTTCAGGAGTGAGCACTGGCAGGCACCCAGCCTCCATGTGCATTTCACTCCCCAGGTACACCCTAGCTCAGATTGGCCACACACTCCATTGCTCCACAGCCCTATGTGACTAGTGGCAATTACACTGGTCAGCGTGGTCCAACACTCATATTTTTTCCTTTCCTTTTTACATGTATACCCAGTTTAACAAATTGTTCTACAAGGCTTTTCATGAAAAACCATAGCTATTTTCTGTTCCCTAGAGCATGTGCTCTTACTTATATGAAATCTTCTTTTGGTACTCGCTCTATTTTTAAAAGTACCACTTGCGACTCAGGACCCAAACTTTTATCTACATTTAACCAACTAATGTAGCGCCAATTCCCACCTCTGCATCCGTCCCATTTCCCTCTGGTATAGACTAGACCAATGTTTAGCATTGACTTTAAGAGAACAGAAGGTCTGTCCACAGGTGAGGGCACTCGTGGTGTAAAGCAGGGATCCTTGGCTGTCTCCACTGCTGGCTCAAAATTCAGCTTTCTCTGGCCTGTCCACAATCAGTCCATCATCAGTCATCTACCTGCTTTCTAGAATCTAAAATGTTAATACTATTGTTTCTTATTCCATGATCTTTGTCCCATAGATTTTATGCCCTAAAAAAAAATTCCTTTAGGTTTTAAAGGGAGTAGAGATAAGGGTATTGTGCTCAATTCATCCTTTTCTTTCTTTTCTTTTTGGCAGTCAGGACTGCCAAAAACATCAATTGTTTGAGTTCAGGGTCTTATTCTTGGCTAGGCAGACTACTGAGTCACATCCCAGCCCATTTTGTTTTATTTTTTGGTAGGGTACTACCTATTTACACTTCCCACATAGCTAGGATGACAGGTACATACTTCCTCACCTAGCTTTTATTGGTTGAGATGGGGTCTTATGAACTTTTCACTTAGACTGGCCTCAAACTGTGATCCTCTGTCTTCTACCTTCCAAGCAGCTAGAATTACAGACATAAGTCACTGCACCAAGCTCAATTCGCCATTGTTAACTGCAAGTCTTTTATCCTTTCTCTACGATCTGGTTGCTTCACTTAGAGTCTATCAAGCTTATCTCAACATGAAACTTTAGGATAACTCATTTTAGACAGAAATTAAACCTGCATGTCTGCTAATATAGCTTCCTACCTGGTATCTTTGCCTAACTCTACTCTAGTACACAATCTCAAATGGACCTTTCCAACATCTGATCATCACCCCAAATACCACCTTTTCCTGGTCTCTCATCACACTTGGAAGAAAAAGTCTTGCTTCCTTACCCATACTGACAAGGCCTTTCCAGGTCTGTTCTCCATCTCCTTACTTGGACTTCTGCCTGACCCTTCGCTCCCATGCTAGACACATGAGCTTTTCTGCTCTGTGCACGTCTGTACTTTTAGGTCTTCACTGGTAATCTTTCTCCCTCCTGGTATCCATCCAATGATCATGTATGTCCTCATACAAATACTGGCTCTCACTCTCCTGGCTACCTCCTATACTTCCTGCAGGTTTCAGTTAAACCTCCCTTTCTCAGGAAACCTGGGCTAAGTCAGAACTCTCCAGGCAGCAGCATTTCTTCTACTGTCTACAGTGGTCTTCAGCTTCGCTATCATGTTTCATTTCTATAATATCTACTCTACCCACTAAGTGGTGAATTCTATGAATGGTGGACACTGTCTGTTCTAGTTCTATATCCCCAGAACTGATATAGAACACATATCCAGTAAGAATTTATAATAAATGAGTGTCTAACATTGAATCTAAGATTGGGGAGGGGAGTTTCTGAACAATACCATCATATTTTTTTCCAGGAAAAAAAGACTGTAAAAGAATATTGTATTATAAGAATACTGCCTTGGGGCTGGGAAGGTGGCTCAGTGGTAGAGCGCTTGCCTTGTATGCATGAGGCCCTGGGTTCAATTCCTCAGCACCACATAAGCAAAAAAGAAAAAAAAAAAGCTGGAAGTGATGCTGTGGCTCAAGTGGTAGAGTGCTAGCCTTGAGCTGAAGAGCTGAGGGACAGCGCCCAGGCCCAGAGTTCAGGCCCCACGACCAGATCAAAAAAAAAAAAAGAATACTGCCTTTAGTTGGGCGCCAGTAGCTCATACCTGTGAGCCTAGGTACTTAGGAGGCTGAGATCTGAGGATCACGGTTCAAAGCCAGACCAGGCAAGAAAGTCTGTGAGATTCTTATCTCCAATTACCACCAGAAAACCGGGAGTGGTGCTGTGGCTCAAGTGGTAGAGCCTTGAGCCTTGAGCTGAGGGACAACACACAGGCCCAGAGTTCAAGACCCACAACTGACAAAAAAAAAAAGAATGCTGCCTTTATATCCAGGTACCTGTAACCCTAGCAGCTCAGAAGGCTGAGACTTGAAGGATCATGATTCCAAGCCAGTCCAGGCAGAAAGATTTATGAGACCCCAACTCTAAAAAGTAAAATGCTAGACAGGAAGTATGACTCAGGTGGTAGAGCACCAGCCATGAGCAAATAGCCAAGAACGGGTTGAAAATCTTAAATTGTGGCTTCAATCCCAGCAACCAAATTAAACACACACACACACAAACAACTTTTGCTATCATACTTCACAGCATAAGGAAAGATAAATTTTAAAATGTCTAAGCTTTTTCATAAAGATATAATTGAAGCAAAAAGCAGAGTTCTGTTGAATGCAGCAGGAGTTACAGGATAATTCAGTTACGGCAGCTCCCAGCATGAACTTCTCAGGTTCAATGGCTGCCCATTTTCTTTAGAGCAAAAATTGTATGATCCAGCAATGGAGCTTGAACTCAGGGCCTGGGCACTGTACCTTAGCTTTTTCACTCAAGGCTAGCATTCTACTACTTAAGCCATAGCTCTCCTTCTGGCTTTTCTGGTGGTTAATTGGAAGGAAGAATCTCATGGACTTTCCTGCCTGGGCTGGCTTCAAACCACAATCTTCAGATCTTATCTTCTTGAATAGCTAGGATTATAGGTATGAGCCACTAGCACTCAGCACATTCTCACTCTTAATTATGCTTCAACTATTGTCTTAGACGAGTTGCTCTCTGTTCTAGGAGGTATTAACTTTGCCTAAACCCTGTTGTGAATTTTATTCAATACATCTGCTCCTTTGAGGAGGCTGGTCTGTGTATCAGAATAAAAACTGCAGCTACACATAAAATTTGAGTTTTACTAGCCATGTAACTACTAAGAATTTCAGGGGTCTTAGGGTGCTTTTTCCCCTCAGATGTACTACAGAAAGAAGGGCATCTCAATACTCACACTGCCTGTTCCTCCAGCTCCCCTCCGATGCGCTGGGACATGTTCTTCAGCACCCCAATGCTGCCAGAGACCAGCTCCAACTGCTCATCCTGCTGTTCCACAATCAACTGGTGCCAGAGAAACGGAAATAAGCAATTAAAATCCATCTTACCTGGTTCCAAGCCCAGCACTCTAGCAGCTGCTAGTTTCTTTGCCAGCTTGGGACAATTCACATTCAAAAGCAAAGCCCAGAAATCAAAGGACCAGACCGTTGCCTCTGAGAACACACTGCTCAAATGGCTGGATTGTCAAGCTACTGATATCTCCTGCTGATCCAACTTGTGAACAGTCAGCAGGGCTTGAAACCACCAAGAGAGATTTACTCTGGTTGGCTGAGGGCCAATGAAGGAACACACAATGGCTGAAAGCACACATACAGCTGACCAGAGTCATGGGGATGTTTGGGAAGAGGAAGCCCACTGCCAAGGTCAAGGTCTCAGTCCATAAACAGCACCACAGCTTAAATGCAGGAGAGCCTGGCAAATTTCTGGTTGTATGGGAAAATTATACACACAGGGTCTTTTTCGTCTTCTTGAAGGACAACCCAGGGGGCCCTGTGGTAATAAATTACCTCAGCGACAACTACTAGCAAATAAATGTTTATTTTTCATTGTGTTGCATCTCATTGATTTTCTATAAAAATTTTTTTTGCTTGGTTAATAGCAGACAGGTTTCTGGAACTAGAACAAAAGAACAGATAACATGTATATATACATAAAGCACAGTATCTAAGGAGTTTTAACAAGCAGCTGACTTCAAATCCTCAGATTATCATTAGCTTCCTTTTACTAATATGATTTCACATTAAAAACAGCAGCACATAATACCTTCACTTCCTTCTACCCCTCAACCTCTACAAAGCCGTCCTATTTTTATATAACTGACCAAATTAATGATTTTCAACAAACTAAACAAGGACTCAATCTTTCTGAGAGTATCTATGTTGAAAAAAATCAGGGCATATAAATAAGAGGTTGGAGAAAGATAGTTTGCATTTTAAAAACGATTCTTACCCTTACCTGTCACTTTTGATGTCTGTTCTGCTTTCCCTGAGATTGTTATAACCAAATGTGTATTTTTTCCAAAGATTTAAACACTTTTCATGTATGTAATCATACATAATCAACTAAAGCAGAAGCTCTGACCTAACCCACTGTCATTAGGCAATGAACCCCATGGCTGGAGAAGGACTGGGGGGAAGTACCCCACCCCACCTCCCATCTTTGGCCAGCTATTCTCAGGGTACCTGCTGCTGCGCTTGTTGCTCCTCGATGAAATGGGAATTGGCCAGCTGCAGTTCACGATCAAGGTGCCCATACTGATGTGTCGTTCCAGTGCTCCAGTTCTGGTTGCTACTGTCTCCCAGCAGGGCCTGTGTGAGAAGGGCCAACCAGAGACAGGGGCAACAGGCAGGTATAATCTCTGAACTGACACAAACTGTGCTCACACTTCTCATAACCTGACCAGGTTATGTGGCAGTGTAGGTTGGTACCCTGGATGATCCAACTTAAGGAATGCCAGGAAGGGCCTTTCCCAAGCCCTCCCAATGGACACCACAAATGGCTTTGTCCTCTTAAAATGCTAATGAATGTTTATACTAACCAACATTGACCTGTTTATCACTTTACAATTTAAAAAGTACACACTCCTTAGAACAGCTCTTCCTAGAAGCCTTGGACATACACCAGGGACCCAAGGGCCTAGTCAAACCAATCTGGAGTCTTACTGAAAGAAGATCCATCAAAGTTTTGAAGCTCTGGGGAGGGCAGGAGTGTTTCCAGAATGGCAATGTTAATTAATAGCCCCTCAGCAACAGGAAAAAGGGAAGGCTACAGGCTTCCCAGAGAGTTAATATAGGACTGCTATCCCAGTCAGGTATGACTATTAGAGCCTGATCTGAAAATTGGGCCAGCCTTGAAATCCCGATCTCCACCAGGGCTCCCAGAGGCCAGAGCCGGGTTCCTAAACATGAACTCAGAAATGTCTAGCCACAAATGTCAGGTTTTTGAGTATCTTCCCATATAAGAGGCAGATAGGCATGTGAAAGCTCAGTGGTGGCAAATGATCTGAAGCAGGATCCCTCCCACCTAACTGGCCAAATGACTGCTCATGGCAGTACTGTACCAAGACAAGATTGAGAAGATACTGGTGACCAAGACTCTTTCCTTGAACAGTTTGCCCAAAATTCCACAAGATAAAGGCACAGCTTTCCTTTTGTTGTTGTTGGTAGTACTGGCGTTTGAACTCAAGAGCCTCACATTTGCCAGGAAGATACTCTACCACATGAGCCACAGTCCCTACCCTTTTTAGCTTTAGTCATTTTTCTAATGGGGTTTTGTGTTTTTGCCCAAGCCTGGCCTTGAACTGCAATCCTCCTATCTACGCCTCTCCCCAGAGCTGGGAGGACAGGAATGAGCTACCATGCCCAGCCCAAGCATATTTATCCCTGGTACATTTAAAAGCCTGACCAACTTAGTTGGTCTCTGCCTGAAGAATGCATCAACAGCTCCATTCCCCTCTTCCATACTGACACTGACATGACATTTTAGAGGTGAACTCCATCTATTGTCCAGACTCCAGGAGCTAGGAGTAGGAAGCTCAGGATGCAGAGTATCAAGTTCTTAGGCTATTATCAGAAGAGTTCCTCATACATTCAGTTCTCAGAAGTTCTTTTTTGCTCAGTTGGTCATGGGGCTTGAACTCAGGGCCTGGGCACTGTCCTTGCACTTTTTCAAGGCTACTGCTCTACCACTTTGAGCCACAGCATCACTTCCGGTTTTCTGGTGGTTCACTAGAGGTAAGTCTCACAGGCTTCCCTGCTCGGGCTGGTTCTGCACCATAATTCTCAGATCTCTATGTAGCGAGGATTACAGGCGTGAGCCACTGGTGCCCAGAAGTTCTTAATGAGAGCTCCAAGCTGTGGGGCTCAGCCCTGTCAAAAGGCTGGACGGGACTATCTCTTGGGAAAAACAGGGTGGCTCTGCCCTGATTCAGCCTTGGTTTGTGAAAAGAACCTGCTCATTCTGATTCCAGACTCTTAAGGACTTCATGGAGAACATATGGACCTCGTGATACTTTCTTCAGGGCCAAAATGAAGGTAGAGTTAGGCTGCTGGCAGAAATTGGGGCTCCTTCAGTCTATGTGCTCCCATATCAGCCAGGGTGTTCACTTATGGGAGACGTGTATCAGTTATGCTTTTAGTATCACCTAGATTTTACAGTGAAATTGCTTAGAAGTTATCAGTCTGACTCCAAGAATCTGTCACAATGGGAGAGAGGATACTGAGTGCCAGACTAGCAGCACCTGGTACCTGGCACTAAGGCAACTTTGCCTACTAGAGTATCTAGAGAACCCTTGAAAACTTGAGGCTCTATGACATTTCCTTCATGGCCTAAAATGAGATTCTAAGCTCAACTTAGAAGGACAATGTATATACTTATTTTCTTTGTTATTTTAATTACACTATCTAGAGAATAAAGCATCCATATTATTAGTAGCAGAGGACAAATGTTACCAGGTACCTCACTTTCACAACTGCTTCAGCTGTCAAATGTGAACAAAGAAACTCCAAACCAGCCAGTTACGGCCATTCACTACTTTCGTTCAAGAGTGAGTGCCACAGAGGATAAGCTAGCCAATGGCTTTTCCTAGCTGCACTGTTAAATAAATAAATAAATACATAAATAAAGAAATGCAAAAGAGATAGAAGAAAACTGTTACCTCCAATTGACCACTCAAAAACTGCAAGTGGAGCTTCAGTTAAAGTGGTAGAACACTAGCCTTGAACAAAATCACTCAGGGACAGTGTCCAGGCCCCGAGTTCAAGCCCCATGACCAAAAGAAGAAAAATAAAAGCCCAAGGGACAGTGTCCAGGCCCTGGGTCTCATGACCCAGCAAAACGGTCAGCATTTAAAAATTCCAAATATCTAACTATGTATTTTCTTGGACAGATACTTACATTCTGGGCCTGACATGTACTGCATGCCCGAAATCAAAGCTGAGGCAGGAATATGACCACTTCAAGACCAGCCTGGGACATAGAAATACTGAGAGACAGACAGAAATAAAGACAGACAGACAGACAGACAGCAGAAAGAAAGTAGGAAAGAGGAAGTGGCGCTGTGGTTCAAGTGGTAGAGAGCTCACCTTGAGCTGAAGAGCTGAGGGACAGTGCCCAAGCCAGAGTTCAAGCCCCACGACCGACCGAAAAAAAAAAAAACAGAAAGGAAAGAAAGAGAAAGAAAGAAAGAAAGAGAGAAAGAGAGAGAGGGAGGAGAAAGAGAGAGAGAGACAGAAAAAGAAAGCAAAAGAGAGAAAGAGAAAAGGAAGGGAAGGAAGGAGAAAAGGAAGGGAGACTGGTTTGACAGATACTGATGTTTTCTCACCTGTCTATTTTTCCTTTCAGTTAATGCCTGCACAGATGAAGTTGACATCTGATCCTTCATGTCCTACCAGACAAACAGAAGACCAGAAAATAAATTTAAAATATCCATAAAAGAAAATCATGGCTAATATTCCATACAATAGCAAAATATTCATAATTTGTTATTTTCTTCTTTTAAACAAAAATAATTCCTAGAGGTATCAAGAATAGTTTTATAGGAACAAATAGATCTATTACTTAATCTGAAGCAAACACTTTTTTTGAGTTCAAAATGTTTTACTCCATAGTTTTTTTCTTCCATATATATTTAGCAAACACTTTCTATTAGCTATTTAGCTTCTTATATTTAATCACAACCTGATATACTAGAAAATGATTTAAAGTACATGCTAATTCCAATACAATTTTGTTTTCTGGAAAAAAAAAACCCAACAAGGTGTCAAGGTACTTTGCACCATTTTGTTGGCAAGAAACTCCCTCCAAGACCCATGACAAGTGAATGCAAAGTCAGAAAGTATGGTGGCTTTTATAATTCCTTGTGTAGTAAATCTGAATAGTAACCACCCTGCTTCAACTTTAAAGTATTCAATCACTCAGTCAGCAAAAACTTCCTGTGTCTATTATATGCCAGGCACACAGCAGTGAATGATACCGTGTAGCACCGGTCCCCTTAGAGCCCACATGATGATTTACTGGGCCAGACACCTGAGGGGCTGTTAAAAATGCCACTTTCAGCCAGGCACTGGTGGCTCACGCCTGTTATCTTAGCTACTCAAGAGGCTGAGATCTGGAGATCGCATTTCAAAGCCAGCCTGGGCAGGGATATCTGTGAGACTCTTATCTCCAATTAATCACCAGAAAATGGTAGTGGCACTGTGGCTCAAGTGATAGAGCACTTGCCTTGAGCTGAAGAGTTCAGGGACAGTGCCCCAGGCCCAGAGTTCAAGCCCCACAACTAACAACAAAAAAGCCACTTTCTAGGTCTTAATCACACATCTACGAGTGAGTGTGTGAGTGTGTGTGTGCGTGCGTGTATGTGTAGGCCTTAATCACACATCTACGAGTGTGTTTGTGTGTGTGTGTGTGTGTGTGTGTGTGTGTGTGTGTGTGTGTGTGTCCTGGGGCTCACTTTGACCATGCTCAAAATTAGCACTCTACCACTTGAGCCACAGCTCCACTTCTGACTTTTTGGTGGTCAGAAATAAGAATCTCATGAACTTTCCTGCCCTGGCTTTGAACCACAATCCTTATATCTCAGCTTCCTGAGTGTTAGGATGACAGATGTTAGCTGTGGGCACCCAGCCTAGGTCCAACTTTTTATGATGCACTTTAACAAATCCTTTTGGTATGTCTTAAAAACTTGAGAACCTCTCGTTTACACAAATCTAGAAACCTCAAGATGGCTGTAGCCACCATATCTATGGACTGCCACTGTTATTTACCCATTAATGTTTAAGATAAATATTCCAATATTCCATAAACTTTACTTAGTTAATATCTACCAATAACTACATAGCACCATATCTGAAATGTTCCCTACTCTATGCTTTTAAATGCACTTGATGCATTTCATAAGTCTTTCTTTTTTTAGGGGGTCCAGTCGTGGGGCCTGAACTCTGGGCCTGGGCGCTGTCCCTCAGCTCTTCAGCTCAAGGCTAGTGCTCTACCACTTGAGCCACAGCGCCACTTCTGGTTTTTTTTTTTCTTTTTGCTTATGTGGTGCTGGGGAATCGAACCCAGGGCCTCAGGCATGCAAGGCAAGCGCTCTACCACTGAGCCACCTTCCCAGCCCCTCATAAGTCTTTCTAAAAAATAAAACCATGCTAGGCACCAGTGGCTCACACCTGTAATCCTAGCTACTCAGGAGGCTGAGATCTGAGGATCAAGTGATAGAGCGGTAGCCTTGAGCTGAAGAGCTGAGGGACAGTGCCTAGGCCAGAGTTCAAGCCCCATGACAGAAAATAAATAAACCACAAAACAATAAGCATGCTACTTTCAAAAGTATACAGAAAAAATTAGTATCTTAGCCTTCAAACATCATAAGCAGAATGTGTTTTTGTGGTTGGAAGTTGGATGGTGAGGGCAAAGGTAATGACTGAAATGGAGCGCAGAGAGGCCTGGGGATAGGGGCAGCATCTGGTCATGCCCTATGATGCTTCTGGAAGTTGCTCAGGTGAGTGAACCCAGTTAATAAATTATTGAAGCTGTGTATTTAGGATACACGAATTTTTTATGTATTGTTATACTTCAATAAAAAATTTTTAATAGTAATGCTTCCAAACAATAATTAGATGGTAAATGGACTAAACCTTCAAAAATAAATTTTGCAAAAGTAGAACTAACAGAGATCTTTCCCATCAGACCAGGGAAGATAGACTTGGTGAATATATTAATAAATATAGAGTCTAGTCAGTGCTGGTGGCTCATACCTGGTTACTCAGGAAGTGAAGATCAAGAGGAATGAGACTTGAGGCCAGCACAGAAAATAAAAATTGTGAGACTCCTCCACAGGAGAAAAAAAGCTACAAGTGATACATGCCTGTTATCCCAGCTACTTCAGGAAACAAAAACAGAAGGATCATAGTCCAAGGTGACCTGGACAAAGCAAAACCCAATGTTAAAACTAACCAGAATGAAAAAGAGTAGGAGGAATGGATCAAGAAGTAAAGGGCCTGCTTGCCAAGCATAAGCCCTGAGTTCTAGAAGTGCCAAAAAACAAATAAAACAAAACAAAATGTATATAATCTGCTGGCCCCCCGGGAACTCGTGCCTGTAATCCTAGCTACTCAGGAGGCTGAGATCTGAGGATCATGGTTCAAAGCCAGCCCGGACAGGAAAATTCCGTGAGCCTCTTATCTCCAATAAACTGCTAGAAAACTAGAAGTGGTGCTCTGGCTCAAGCAATAGAGCGCTACCCTTGAGCTGAAGAATGCAGGGACAGCTCCCAGCCCCAGAGTTCAAGCCCCATGACCAAAATAAATAAATAAATAAATAAATAAATAAATAAATATATATATATATATAATCTGATGTTCTATTTATAAAAATAAATCCTTTTATAATATACTCTGAAATTAATCAATATTTAAAACAGGTATTATAATTGGATACTTAGAAAAATCTAGCTTGTACTCAAAGTATAAGCTAGATTTTTTTTTGGGGGGGGGGTCCAGTTGTGGAGCCTGAACTGTGGGCCTGGGCCCTTCCCTCAGCTCTTCAGCTCAAGGCGAGCGCTCTACCACTTGAGCCACAGCACCACTTCCGGCTTTTTTCTTTTTGCTTATGT